CGGGTTCGATTCCCGCCAGCACCCATGAAATTGTTAATTGCAATTATTTTAAGTGCTGATTTACCACGTGCTCGGTGGCAAGGAAAACATCGTGAGGAAAACCTGCATGTCTGAGAAATAAGAAAAAAATATTTCGAAGACATATGAATTTCGCCAACACGCATTGGGGCAGCGCGGCGGATATTTCCTTGCCCTAAAACCCTCTCAGAAATGAGAGGAGGCCTGTGTCCAGCTGTGGAACGTATAATAGGCTGTAACTTTAAATTTTAACATTAATAGAAATAAAAATATAGAAAATAAATTACGTTAACTTATTTCATAAAAAACGACATTTTCATAGATAAAGACGCTAATATTTTTTGTATAAAAATAACGCTCATTAATATTTTAAAAGTACATCATAATACTATTGATATTTGAATAAGATTTTTTTATGGAATCAAAAGTGTTTTTTTATAGGATAGGTTGACAAACGAGCACACAGTCCCCTTGATGGTAAGTGGTTGCTGTGAGCCATAAACATCTACATTTACTCTCAATTAAGAAGCAAACTGCAGATGCGTGAACAGAAAGTGAGGACTAAGATGGAATGCCTCTATTTCCAGCAAAATGGGTCTCCGGTTCTCTACACTCACCATGCGAAACACAGCATTGTCAAGTTGCCATTTTACGCTAGTATTCTGTAAGAGCGTGGTCCTTCCCCGGTCGAGCCGAGCCATTCGTGCTACAACTATACTACTAATATACCTGCAGCATGACTTCTACCAAGTATATATTTTATTTATTTATAAGTGGAATCAAAAAGCTGATGTATTGTAAGGAATACGTTCCTTGTTATTATTAAAAGGGGTCTCCAATTCTCGTCACTTACAGTAGAAAACACGCCACCATCATGCTGCCTTTTGCGTTGGTGTTGTGCGAGTTTTTTTTTTAGAACTCCTTTCCTATTTTGGCCGACCCGTTTGTGCTGCATCGATCGATTTACTCTTACTAACGTTAGAGGTTATTTATAATTCATGTTTGCAGACGCTAAGCTCATTTCTGTAAAGGTAAAAGCGATTTTAAAATCTGATGAAAAAATACCTTACATAAAGCACGTTATTGTTGCAACCAATAAGTAAATAGATTTAAACATATATATATATATATATATATATATATATATATATATATATATATATATATTATTTTATGGCCCTTTTTAAGATCTACAATATTCATTTTTAACTTATTTCAATCTCTATAAATACTCAAAAAACACTAAGCAAAAACAATTTAATTTAGAAATTGAACGTGTAGAGATGCAGAAACGCGAATCGTAATAATTGGCACGTTATAATAAAATCATAAATATGACATTAAATCGCAATTTATATGTGTGACTAGCAAACATTCCATAATGTGTAAACTTGATCAAGTAATAAGGTTTATTATTGTTTTGGTCATGTTGAGAATACATTCTACAATGAGTTCTTTATTATAATTCTTATCTCATAAAAAATTCTCGTAAATCAAACAGTTAAAGCGCTCGCAACCGCCCAGGCTAGTGCTTGCCCAGTGAGATTGGACGTAAATTGTTTTCTCTGAAATTATCCCCGCTCTCATCCGGCCAGCAGGGAAGGACCACGTCTCAGTTCCATAGGCCATCACTGGCAACACGCACTGGTTGTACAGTCTCGTTTTCAAGTTTTGAGGTATACCTGACGAGAAGATGTGCCGTGATTTCCCGAACGCCGTCCGAGTTGAATCCGTCGATTGACCTCTCGGTCGAAGTTGAACTTACCTAGTTGGACTATTTGTCCCAGGTAAACATACTCGTCAACAGCTTCGAGCTTAGTGCTCCCAACAACTACCGGCATAGGTGTGATGTGGACATTAAACATGATCTTTGTTTTGTCCATGTTCATCTTAAGACCTATATGTTGGGCGACACTATTGAGGTCATTAAGCATAGTGCTAAGGTCCTCCAGCCATAAGGACTATACCGTCGGCAAATCGAAGGTGAGTGGTGTACTCGCCATTGCTGTTAATACCGTATGTTTTATAGTCCAGTAGCTTGAAAACGACTTCCAATGCAGCGGTGAAGAGTTTCGGGGATCTAACGTCACCCTGTCTTACACCTCTCTGCAGATGGATAAGTTTCGTACTCTGATTCTGTACTCGGATAGCCATCTTAGCCCTACTGTACACATACTTCAGCACATCGATATCCCGACAGTCAACTTGGCACCGCTGAAGGGACTGTAGCACCGCCCAAATTTCACGGAATCAAAGGCTTTCTGATAGTCCACATACGCAAGGCAAAATGGCAGATTGTACTCTTCTGTCTTCTGTACAATTTGCCGAATGGTATGTATGTGGTCTATGGTACTAAAGCTTTATCGGAAACCGGCTTGTTTAGGAGGCTGGAAGTCTTCGAGTCTGCGTGCGACACGATTTGCAATGACTCTCGAAAATAGCACGTAGACGCAACTCAGAAGGGAAATCGATCTGTAGTTCTTCAAGAGAGCTTTATCGTCTTTCTTGAAGAACAAGACCACCGCACTTCTGCTCTACGCTCCCGGAGTAGTGCCACCATGGAGGACGGAATTAAAGAGCTTCTGAAGGACTTCAAGTACCGGCTTTCCACCCCCTTTCAGAAGCTCTGCTGTAATTCTATCCTCGCCCGGGTCCTTGCCGTTTTTAAGGTACTGGAGAGCTATTCTAATCTCGCTCAGACTGACGTCCGGAATATCTTCGGAATAGTGTCGGATAAGACTCGCTCTGTGATCGTTACTCACACTTGAGTGTGGCTCCAACAATGACGTGTACAGCTGCCCATAGAACCTCTCAATCTCACTCAAAATCTCAAGTGTCCTGGAACACTCGGTCTTCTGCTTTGACAGTTGGCTCTTTCTGGCAGACAGATCTCTGGCAAAGACTTTGGAGCCTTGGTTTCGCTTGATCGCTTCTTCAATACGAGCAGTATTGAAGTTGCGTAAGTCCCGCCGTATGCATTAAGAGATCTGTTTGTTCAGTTGCCTGTATGCTGTCAAATCTGTTGAAGACTGCAGGTTCATTTCCCGTCTAACAGCCAAGAGATTAAGAGTGTGATCGGAGATTTTTTGTGTTCTTCTGCGGCGGGTCTTGCAGAACTTAGCTCCGACCGCATGGACAGTTTCCACGAGCTTATCATTCATATCGTCCACTTCATTGCAGTCTTCTGGGCACCGAAAACGGTTTCGTAACTCGAGCTAATAGGTTTCGGGACATTGGACTAAAGCACGAGGGAGACGGAGCGTTGACTTCATTTGACGAGACCTCTCCAACTTAACGTTTAGGTTCAGTGTGCCTCTAACTATTCGGTGACCGCTACCAGTTTTTACCCTCGCGATCACTGAGATATCACTGAACAGTTGTCTTCATAATGAAGTTAATCTCATTTTTTCTCCTTGCTGTTCCTGTGGGGCCGCTTCTGGAAGAAAGAGTTCATCATAAAGAGTCCCTCTTTCTCCGTGAAGTCAACCAGCTGATGGCCTTTTGGATTCCGTTGCCCTATTCCAAATTTCCCTACTTTCAGCTCACCATTCTCTCTTGTGCCTAGTTTTGCGTTGAAGTCTCCCATTAACATCGTGTAGTGGGTTTTGGAAGAATGCATGGCTCTAGAGATATTTTCATACATTTCCTCCACCTCATCATCGGGGTGTGCCGAGGTTGGTTCGTAAACCTGTATGACCTTCAGCGAATACCGTTTGTTGATTCTGAGTATACGCAACCCTCGTCGACACACTCCCAATCTTTACAAAGAAAGAAAGAAAGAAGAAGAAAGAAAATAAGTTTATTTAGTAACACATTTTAGAAGTTTGCTAACCATAATAACATATTAAGATAAACGGTTACTAAAAAGGTACCCAAATCAGCATAGTCTTGGTACTAACAAAGTACTTCGACACTGATCTTCCGTGGGTGCCGATAACATTTAACAAAAACAAAACTTAACAATATTCATTATTATACAATGTTAAGTCAATATGCAAATACAGTATATTTAAATCATATACACGATTACACTAATAATAATAAGCTTGTAATAAAACATACATAAGTACTTATAATAAATTAATATAATATAAATAGCAATTACTTAAATAAGATTAAAAGGAAACGAATAAACGGAATAGCAAAGTATGTAAGACACAGTAAATAATTTTCAATAAATTGACTTTTGAATATTGAGTAAGTATTTTTTGTAGTTATATTTAAACAAACCGATTGAAGCTAGATTTCTATTTGGTGGTGGAATGTTGTTCCAGCATTTCGTGGCAGAATAACGAAAGCTACCTCGAAATGCCGATGTACTGTGTCTTGGACATACTAAACAAGTTGCTATTCTAACCTGTCGCCGTGAAAAGTCTAATTTGTTATAAAGATACTGTGGTGTGTGTGTCATTATGATACCAAACAATAAACTGGCAAAATGAAGAGAACGTCGAGACTGCATATTCATTAAATTACTGTTGTTGAGATAAGGTGTTACATGGGTCCGCTTCGGTATGTTAAAAGAAAAACGTGAACAAGCGTTTTGCACCCTTTGTATAACTTTCTTTGTATGAGAGAGGAGACATTCCCCTATAACCGCATCAGCGTAATTAAGCTTAGAAAGAATTAGTGACTCACAAAAGTATATCCTAAGGTCTAAGTTTAAATATTTACGTACTTGGTATAACATTTTTTGCCTAAAATAACAATTTTTAACAACTTCTAGGACATGATTATGAAATTTTAATTTGCTGTCCATTAGTACACCCAGGTTTCTAGCCTCTGTCACTTGTTCAATATGTTTATTCTGTATTTTTAGCTCTAAAGTAAACCTATTAATCCTATCTACTTGATTTTTGGACCCTAGCACAAGAAATTTAGACTTTTGAGGATTTAGCACTAAGCTGTTTTTATTAGACCATTCAACTACGTGTGCTAAATCCTGATTAATTTTTGTCACTGCTAATAAAGTTTCTGAAGGTCTAAAAGAATAGTAAAGCTGTAAAGTCATCAGCATAAGCATGAAATTTGCAATATTTAATGCATGAAGCGATATCTGCACTATACAGAATAAAAAGGAGTGGACCCAGTATTGAACCCTGTGGTACACCTTGACTGACAATTGAAATATCTGAGAGTCTTTTAGTATTTGTTTTGCTAATTACTTCAACTCTTTGAGAGCGTCTGTACAAAAAACTTGAAAACCATTTTAATGTGATACTATCAAATCCATAATATGAGAGTTTTGACATAAGCAAATCGTGGTTTATTGTGTCAAAAGCACGGGAAAAGTCCAGCAGTACCAATATTGTTCCATTTCCAGAATCAGCTTCCGATAGTACGTCATCCACTACATCTAATAAAGCAGTAGCCGTGCTATGACCGTTTCTGAAACCAGACTGTTTTTGAGGTAAGATGTTGTTGACATTCAGAAACTCCAAAAGTTGCTGAGATACAACTTTTTCAACTATCTTAGACATAAAGGGAAGAATACTAATGGGACGGAGATCCTTTAACTCCTTCGGATTGCTTTTCTTTGGTATTGGTTTGACCAGAGCTCTTTTCCAAATGTCAGGGAAAACGCCTGTTTTGATGGACTGATTAACAATGGCAGTAATGATCGCTAATGTACGAGGTAATGTCAACTGGATCATATCACGCGTAATGCCATCAGCTCCTTGAGCATTACTCGCAATATTAGAAATTATTTTAGAAATTTCTGTTTCATCCACAGTTTTAAGACTAAATATTGCAGAGGTACACCGATTCGACTTAAAATAGGTAAGTTCCGAAATGCTAATGTTATGATTTACGTCTATATTAAGAATATGGTTGTTGATAAGATTAGGATCATTGATATTTTCAGGTAAATCGTATTGTTTGTTTTTAAAATTAGCGACATTTAACTTGAAATTTTTCCATAATTCTTTGGGGTTTTTTGATTGTTCATTGATATTATATCGGAAGTATGCTGCTTTTTCGTTGAATAAGGCTTGATTAACGACACGTTTTAGATCTTTGTAATATGTTTTGTCAGATTCAACTTTTGAGGAACGACTCCTTGCGTAGGCTTGATCCCTTAGTTTCATCATACATTTGATAGTTGGTGTTATCCAGGGGTAAATTTGTTTTTTAATGTAGGATTTCTTAATAGGTGCATGTATTTCATAAATATGATTGATATAGGCATTAAAAGACATTAGAAAAACGTTTACATTTTCATGAAAAAGTCGTTCCCAATTAATACTATCAACTAAGACATTAAATTCCTCAATATTTATATTTCTTAATGGTCTGTAACTTATATATTTAGGAACTGATCTAGGTTTTTTTATATACAATTCACATGAAACAAGAGCATGCCTACTTAGATCTGGGATATGATCAACTAAGACATTGAATACCTTAGATGTGCTGAATATTAAGTCTAATAACGTTTCAGAATGGTCTGTGAAGTGAGTTGGTTTTTCTACATATTGCTGTAAATTCATGATTTTCAGTGAAGATAATAATTTATTTGTGTTGGGCTCGTTAACTGCAAGTAGATTGATATTAAAATCACCTAATAGTACTATATGATCAAAAGAAGAAAATGAACTAATCGATTCAGTCAATGCGTCAATAAATGTGTCAATATTTAGCCAAGGCGGGCGATACGCAGTGCCTACGGCGATTTTAAGACCATTAAGGGTTATACTTAACCACATTTGCTCGATCAATGAAGGCTGGGGAAGGTGAATCTGCCGTGCGTATAAGTCACTCCGAAGATAGAACCCGACACCACCACCGCGCGTGCTTACTTTCGCAGGCCGCGGTATGTGCCGTAGTCGGTAACCGGGTGGCGCTGGCGCTCGCCGTTCTTCCCCTTCTCTCAACCATGTCTCATTGATAGCCAATATATCCAACGAGTGCCGCTCTAGCACTACGACAAACTCCTCATGACGCGTTCCAAGAGAGCAAGGATTTAGCAAGCCTAAGGATAATTTTTTTCTTTTAATAAATTGTAAGACAAACGCGAATGACAATAAAATGTATTTAGAATTGTGAAGATACTTCTTTATAATTGTTAAATGACGCCTGTTCACAAAATAAAATGCTGAAATGCAGTTGATTGAGGTATTTAAATGTTTGTGCAGATAAATATTTGTATTAATTACTATTTTTTTTGTAATGTAATTAGCAATGAGTGTTAGTAAGCATTTGTGTATTGCAGCATTATTAAATAACTTAAAATGATATATAGTAGACACAATGCAAAATGTATAACATAATAAGTAAGTATAGAATAAGTAATTTTCACAAGAATGGCTGCAAATATTCCATATTATATGAACAGACATTGTAGTATTAAATATAAGGTAATGATAGTAATACAATATAAAAATAAAAGTAACAATTAACTTATTATCTTCAGCGTAAATTAACTTTAATTTAACAACGTTTACAACGTTGTTAACGAGAGACTAATGGACGATAAATCCGACACCTCCTTGGGACAGATGGTCACTCTCCCGGTGATAGAACAAATTGCCGGATTCGAGGATTACCGTGTCCTCTCCTTCTCTTCGGACCTCGGTTGATCCTATAATATTTCAGTGCAACTTGTCTGTTTCTTCTTCCAGCTCCAGGATCTTCTCGTCAGCCCTCAGGTTGCGTGCGTTATAAGTTGAAAGGTCGAGTTATCGTAGGTGGCAACCGAACCTCACCGGAGATTCTTAACACCCCGTGCCCCGCCGTTACTATGGTCACCACCGTAGCTAGGAATAGCAGGACTGTCTGGGACTGGGGGCCGTTTATTACTGTCGTTGCTCATGGGGGGTATATTGCCATAGTTGCCACGCTTGGCAAGCGGGTTAGCAACCGCAATTTTTTTTATTGTGATATTGCTGTTATCAGGAAGATGCTGCTGCCTATCTCCTGCTTGTTTCCAACTGTCACCTCTTACGACACCAACGGGAAGATATGGGGTAGTGGATATTCTTAACCGCCACTACACGGCTTAACGTATCGTTTTCATAACTACACACCGTTCAACAAGAAGTTCTTAATTTTAGTTTTATTAGAAGTTATCTAAAGCAGGAATCCTAATTAAATACAACTAAACTTTTGAAGACTCAAATGTGTATATAATAGAAAATAAGTTTTTTTATCTCCCGATATAAAAAATAGAAATGAACATATCTACATAAAAGTCACCCGTTTTTATAGCGCCTCAATTTTAAATTGATGGACTTAAATTGTATGGGAAAATTTGGAACACACTGTAAGTCATGTATTTTTGAAAAATAAGCATTGAATGCAAATTAATAGCAAAGATAATGTAATTACTACGTCTAATTAGGTATATATAAAGTATTTCAGTCAGACAATAGTTAAACAAAATAGTAGTAACAATACGATTTTTCTTAAAATTACCAACCTAACATATATGATATATTATATTAAAGTTACACGTAATGTATATTATGTCAACAGATATATTATGGCTACAATATAAATTGGTCACTTTGACTCTAGAAAAACTACGCTCTAACAGATTAGCGTTAAAGTGCAGCATAATGCTGCTGGTTTTCTACGGCGAGCATAGAGAACCTGATACCCATGTACTCGTAATGAGGTATTTTATTTTAAACTCGGGGATCACGCATCTGCATTTTGAATTTGAACCGATTATAAACGTAGATGAAAGTATCTATAAAAACACAGACACAGCATACAATAACCAACAGGTTGATTGAATGTGAAACTCGTATAAAACAATCACACGAATTACGTTTATTAATACAATCTCTTGTCACGATAATATATTATATTTTCATTGACTTTAATTTGATGTACTTTACAGCAAGTTAGTCACATTGTCCTGAAATTGTGGTTGTGAAGTTAATTACTCAAAACACTCTACACACAACAGTGTGTAGAGTGTTTTGAGTAATTAATACATAGGCCACTCCTTTACAGAAAAATCGTAAACTTTTTGTCTACAATACTGTGAAACTCAATATCACAGAATCTGTTATCAGTCCGATGTTTGGTGGATAACAAGATTGCTTTTCCTGGCACAAACAATGAATTTTACCTAGGGATTTTATCAGGAATGCTCCATTATATTTATATACTTGCTGGTATACTAAAAATATAAACAATAACGTTATTATGTGGTATAATATATTTTAAGCAATGGAAAATAAAAAAATCTCCAGACAAGTTTCAGATTAGATTAATATTTTATGAAGATAATCCGAATCGATCCACACTCAACATTTTAAATATATTCTAACTGAAATTAATATTCATTGGAAGTCGCTGAATTTGTTAGTTCAGAATTATTAATTTCTTAGTTCAGAATTATATCCAAAACTTGTTTGGAGACGAAGCTCTATTACATTTTTAAATAAATATTTAAATATTAATTCGCCTTACTTAGAAATTAATACACTTATGGCAACAGATTTATATAATGGAATCCATCATTAACTGCCAGCTCATCCGGTACCTTGAGGATCACCAGCTGATTAGTGACCGCCAATACGGTTTTCGTCGGGGTCGATCAGCTGGTGATCTTCTGGTCTACCTGACCCGGAGAGCGGAGGCGGAGGCAGTAGAGTCCAAGGGGGAGGCGTTGGCCGTTAGTCTGGACATTGCGAAGGCCTAAGTTGCTAAGGCGCTTCTTTCGAAGCTCCCTTCCTATGGGCTTCCCGAGAAATTGTGCAATTGGATCACCAGCTTCCTTGCAGATCGGAGCATCAAGGTCGTTGTAGACGGTGCATGTTCTGATTACAAGCCTATTAACGCTGGTGTTCCACAAGGCTGTGTGCTATCCATCAACGCTGTTTCTTCTGCATATCAATGATATGTTACTAACTGGTAACATTCATTGCTATACGGATGACAGCACTGGTGATGCTCTATACAGCAGCCGTGCCAATATTTCTCGGGAAAACGTCGCCGAGTACCGGAACAAACTTGTGTCTGAAGTCGAGTCTTTGCTGAACAAAGTCTCGGATTGGGGGCGACTAAATCTAGTCCAGTTTAATCCTCAGAAGACACAAGTTTGCGCGTTTACCGCTAAAAAGAACCCCTTTGTCGTATCTCTTCAGTTTCAAGGCACTCCCCTTCTTGCCTCAGCTAGTATCGGTATCCTCGGAGTCGACATATCGAGTGACGTGCAGTTTCGTGGTCACTTGGAAGAGAAGGCCAAATTGGCCTCTAAAAAGCTTGGCGTGCTCAGCAGAGCGGGACAGTATTTCATGCCGGCACACCGCCTGCATCTTTACAAGGCGCAGGTTCGGCCTCACATGGGATACTATTCCCATCTCTGGGCAGGGGCTCCCCAATGCCAGCTCCTTCCACTTGACCGCATCCAGCGCAGAGCGGCTCGAATCGTCGACGACCAAGCCCTTTCCGATCGGCTCGATTAATTGGCACTGCGAAGAGATGTTGCATCCCTTTGCATTTTCTTTCGCATCTACCATGGGGAGTGCTCTGAGGAATTGTTCGGATTAATCCCAGCCGCCAAATTTCACGAACGCACATCCCGGCAGAACTCCCGATACCATCCACACCATCTGGATGATTGGCGGTCCACCACTGTGCGATTTAGAAGATGTTTTCTTCCTCGCTCGACTTCGTTGTGGAATCGATTACCATCAAC